AACCTCCCAGTAACCCTAGGAAATGGGTGGTTTTTCACTGAGTTTGTAGATGAGGAACTGGTCTCAAGTGAGTAAGAACTTGCCTAGGTCAACTAGGGGGTGGTTGGTCAGACAGCTAGGCGGCTTGGCTATGTTCTCTTGAACTCTGGTGCTGACCTGCTGCCCTCCTTGCTTTCCCCAGAGCTCCCACGGGCTCGCTAGAATAGGGCATCACTTACTGCTTAGAGGAGCTCAGAGGTGATCAGGTGCTGTGGGAGACAGTTGTGCTAGGGCTTGAGAGGATGGTTTTTGTGTTCATTCTCACGGATTTAATCTCATTTACTCAGTAAACCTTCATTTTGTGCCATGTCTGGGGTTACAGCAATGAGTCCTGAAACCTTGGTTTCAGGAAAGAGAGACAATGGAGAGTGCGATGCAGAGGAAAGGAGGCCCAGAGAGAAGGCAACAAGGAATTAGCCAGGGCGAGGGAGGCCACCTGTCAGCAAGATGAAAGCTGGTGGAACATGGACAACGGGACCCTAGAATCCAGCAGAAGTCAGGCTAGTGGACAGGCGCATGCCCCTAGGAGATGACCATGATCTGGATGAGAGGCTTTGCCCAGGCAGAGAAGGAAGGCATGGCATTCTGGGCTGGGGACAAGCATGTATGCAGGGAAGGCTCAGAGCGTGAAAGCATGCAGTATGAGTCTATCAGACATGAGTGGAGGGCACGGCCTTCGAAGGGAGACTCGGTGGGTGACTGCCTACCTTAGCTGCTGTCCGATTGAGCATGGCTTTGAATACCTTGTCAACCAAGGAGTGAGCGTGCAGTTCGTTCTGTTCCGTATGTAAGTCCTTCTTGAAGTACTTGACTTTTCTACAGTATTGGTCCTAGATCAGAAAACAGATCAGTAGTCATTAGCTCCTCTCTACCATCCATTCTTCAGAAATGTCTTGAGACACTCTTATGAACTTGCAAATTGAGCGCCCCCGTGGTTTAAGGGCTCTTGTTCTTATTTCTCGCTAAAGCAGCTCTCTCTTTTATTCATAACTTCCTCCCGCCCAAATCTAGTGTCTTTTGGCTATTATTCTTTTTGATCTTCTCTCTTCTCATGCAGCACTATTAAACCCCTTAACACGTTTCCTTCATTCCTAGAGAGGATGAGTGCCCACTGTGTGCTCTGCCCTAGGACAGAGATCAAGAAGAGGGGCTCCCAGCCGAACTCTGTGTGCCTTTGGCTTCTGCTGCCTTCTTTGACTGTGGAACCCAGCCGTTCTCATCCCAGTTTTTGACTTCTCCACTTGCCCCAGTTAAGTCTGGAGATGTCAGAGCTCTGCCTTCAAACTCTTCCTTTCTACTCTCTGCCAGTTTGATATCTCTAGCTTCTACCTTTTCTTCAGTTCGGTTCAACAGGTCTTTGCTTAGCTAGTGTGCCAAGTATGGTGCTGGCCTGGAGTTTCCAAAATGAGTAAGTTGAGGCCTTCCTCATGCCCACTTCAGCTGTGGAAATGCTTTAAAGGGAACAGAGTGGAGACTAATGAATCCAGGCTGGGACAGGCCAACCCATGAGAGTCTTGGACTTGACAGGGGACTAGGACTTCTCTAAGCTCAGAGGAGGGAGGGGTCAGAAAGACACTGATGAAGAGCCTTGAATGCCTTGTGAAGGGGTTGGAGTTTATTGAAGCAGACAGTGAGAAACCATTTCACCTTTCTGATCGGGAGAGAGATGGAAGTGGTATTTTTGAATAAGAAATTTAGCGTTAGTGTTGATTGTGACCAATCCACAGACAAAGTGGGAAATATGGACATTATAAAGAGCTTTTCACAGACTTAAATTTATTCCGTTTAAAGATTGCTCTTTTATTCAAGTCCTGCAGCTTTTTCTTATGTCGTGTTAAAGAATTTTCCTGGGCCGGCCCCGTGGCTTAGCGGTTAAGTGTGCGCGCTCCGCTACTGGCGGCCCGGGTTCGGATCCCGGGCACACACCGACGCACCGCTTCTCCAGCCATGCTGAGGCTGCATCCCACATACAGCAACTAGAAGGATGTGCAACTATGACACACAACTATCTACTGGGGCTCTGGGGAGAAAAAAAAAAAAAGAGGAGGATTAGCATGGATGTTAGCTCAGGGCTGATCTTCCTCACAAAAAAAAGAAAGAAAGAATTTTCCTTTTTTCCTAGTGCCAGAACTAGCCTGTGATCCAAGGCTTCATCTTGCTGAAGTTACTGTAATAATTTCCATGGTTGAACTTGGGTATCGGTACATATGCTTGACCTCCATTTACTTAACTTTTTGTTTCGTTGTTTGTAGGTTTATTTTTAGAGTGACCTCTACAAATGATTGATGGCATTGATTACAGATTGAGTCTTCCCAGTTTCACTTTTACAAAGAAACTTATTTTGAAATGCTGGGGGCATCTGACTCCTGGGCTACATTCCTTTCTGGAGCTCAGCACCCTCAGTGAATTTCAAGGTTTTCCATCGAGGTTTTATTTCCTCAGGGTAGGGAACATGTCTTCTAATTTTTTGTTCTGTACTTAAGTCTGTCTCCAGGAGGTGCATAATATTGTTGACTGTTTTTGTCAGCTAAAATAATCCTTCTAGAAACGAGAATAATTAAGGGGATTTGATTCCATCTTTGGCTGAGGTGTTAGAATCATTGTTGCTCTCAGGGAAGCTTTTTCAAGAAGTATCCTGTTCTACAGGGACGAGATCTCTGATTATATCTATAAATCAAATTCCCCGGTAATTTAAAGTGATACCTTGTTCAGGAAAGCACAATTGTTCCATAATTTGGAAAAGGAAATTATAGCTAAAATTAGGAGCTATAATGCACTGTTGGTAGAAGCCAGAATGTGGCTTATGTTCTATTCATTCCCATGTTCCTTTCTCCTTATACAGTGACCAGCATATAGTAGTTCCTCCATAAATGATAGTGCTATAAATATTGAACAAGTGAAGTTGAAAGGGGATAAATCTCTAAGCTTTCTTTTTCTGGCATGATTATGACTCTCAATAGTTTTGCTACAGATTCTTTGCATTGGTTTTAAAAGGATATTCAGTTTTGTTTTGCTTTGTTTTTAGTTTAGAAGAATTGTTGGAACTCTGTTTATTTGAAGAATTTATTATTTCTCACTCATTGGAATTTAACTTCTTCATAAACATTAACGTTTTGTTTTGTTTTAATGCAGATACTTGGATCGCGTAAAACAGGTCATGTACTTGCTAGGGGTGCCAGCACAGACCCCCTTTTTCTCTCCACAGAATCCGTTGACTGGCTTACAATCCATTCAGTTGTCTCAGCTATCTACTGCTGTGTAATAAATTACCACAAACCTAGCAGCTTAAAACAACATACATTTATGATCTCAGTTTCCGTGGGTCAGGAATCAGGCACAGCTGAACTGGGCTGCAGTCAGGTCTTGACCACGCTGTGTTCCTACCTGGAGCTCGGGGTCCTCTTCCAATCTTGCAGAGCTGTTGGCAGAATTCAGTTCCTTGCAGTCATAGGACTGAGGTCTCTGTTTTCTTGCTGGCTGTCAGTTGGGGGCTGCTCTCAGCTCCAGGAGGCCACCAACAGTTCTCTGCCATGGGCCCCCTCACAACATGGCAGCTGGCTTCAAGGCCAGCAGGTGACGCTCTCCAAACCACTAAGGTGGAGTCATAGATAACATAACAACAGGAGGGATTATACCATCACCTTTGCCACTTTGCAAGTCACAGGTTCTGCAGTAGGGGTCACCTTAGGGTGTGTCCATCACATGAGTGAATTCATCCCCTTTGGTGATGCTGTGAACTCGCTGGTCTGTCCCTCTTTATGTAATCATTGATGGTTTGCTGTCAGCTTCTTGATCACCTCGAGGCCAAGAACATGCTCAAAGCTTAGGCATGCATTTTCCTTTTTTTTTTTCTTTGTGTGTGTGTGTGTGTGTGTGTGGAAGATCAGCCTTGAGCTAACATCCGTGCTAATCCTTTTTGCTGAGGAAGACCGGCTCTGAGCTAACACCTATTGCCAATCCTCCTCCTACTTTTTCTTTTCCCCCCCAAAGCCCCAGTAGATAGTTGTATGTCATAGGTGCACATCCGTCTAGTTGCTGTATGTGGGACACGGCCTCAGCATGGCCGGAGAAGCAGTGTGTTGGTGCGTGCCCGGGATCCGAACCCAGGCCACCAGTAGCGGAGTGCGCGCACTTAACCGCTAAGCCACGGGGCCGGCCCTGCATTTTCTTTTTATAGTAAAACACAAAGACATTCTGTGAAATTACTTCGTGTACATTAAAAGATGCTTTATACTGTATCTAAAGTAAGGTGTTTTATAAGCAGAAAACTGTCCTGGGGATAAACGTTCCTAGAGTCCGCTTTGGGAAGCAGAACAGCTGACTTTATTCTTTTCCCTTGTATGTTTAGAATCACATTTACAGAAGATAAGAAGCTCTAACTGGAGTCCATTTTCATTAATGGTAATACTGCTTCTATGGAAAGACAACATTTTAGGCTGAATATCCCGTGTGATCAATTACTGTGTACTGTATAAGAAAAACTAACGTTTGGGTTTAGATTTACAGAAGATCAAATCTCATCCCCCACAAACATTTTCATATTTGGGGTTCAGAGACATGGATCTTAGTTCTGCACTCCAACTCTAGCATTTTGAAAGGCATCCCACAGGAGTGCATGGTGAATTTGGAAGACGCTTGGAAATGAGGACACTATCTCGTAGATTAACGGTGTAGGGCATTCTGGCAAGTGTTTGATCTTCCTCATGGTGTTAATCACATCTGACTTCCATTGTGAAACTACTGATTTTCAGGTAGATTATCCTGCCATGGCAGCATCATTTAATAATGGATGCTTGCATGACAGCATTACAGGATTTAAAGTCATAGTAATAGTAAATGTTAAAATAACAGTATAGTACTCGTCAAAGTTGTTCACAGAAGTTCTGACACATGTACACACCATTGTGACTCCAGTTATCCTCCCTCTATCTCTGCATTATCAAATTCTCCCTCTGGGCTGGCTTTTTGGCATGTAAACATGTGCTAGTGTATCCTGTCTTTAAAAAGACACAAAGAGGGGCTAACCCAGTGGCATAGTGGTTAAGTTTATGCCTCCGCTTCTGGCGGCCCGGGGTTCGCAGGTTCGGACCCCGAGTGTGGACCTATGCACCACTTATCAAGCCGCGCTGTGGCAGGCGTCCCACATAAAGTAGAGGAAGATGGGCATGGCTGTTAGCCCAGCGCCAATCTTCCTCAGCAAAAAAGAAGAGGATTGGCAGCAGGTGTTAGCTCAGGGCTAATCTTCCTCACACGCGCGCGCACACACACACACACACACACACACACACAAAAACATACAAAGATCACACCCGTCAGAATGGCCATAATTAACAAGACAGGAAACAACACGTGTTGGAGAGGATGTGGAAAGAAGGGAACTCTCATACACTGCTGGTAGGAGTGCAAACTGGTGCAGCCACTATGGAAAACAGTATGGAGATTCCTCAAAAAATCAAGGATAGAACTACCATATGATCCAGCTATTCCACTGCTGGGTATTTATCCAAAGAACTTGAAAACACCAATGCATAAAGATACATGCACCCCTGTGTTCATTGCAGCGTTATTCACAATAGCCAAGATTTGGAAGCAACCTAAGTGCCCATCAAGGGACAAATGGATAAAGAAGATGTGGTATATATACACAATGGAATACTACTCAGCCATAAGAAACGATGAAATCCAGCCATTTGTGACAACATGGATGGACATTGACGGTATGCAAAGTGAAATAAGTCAGAGGGAGAAGGTCAAATACTGTATGATTTCCTTCATTAAGTAGTAGATAATAACAACAATAAACAAACACATAGAGACAGAGATTGGATTGGTGGTTACCAGAGGGGAAGGGGGGAGGGAGGAGGGCGAAAGGGATAATTCAGCACAAGTGTGTCCTGATGGGTTGTAATTAGTATTTGGGTGGTGAACATGATGTAATCTATGCAGAAATAGAAGTATAATGATGTACACCTGAAATTTATACAATGTTATAAACCAATGTTACTGCAATAAACAAAAAATTAAAAATAAATAAATTTAAAAAAATAAAAACACACAAAGAAACAACAATAACAAAAAACTTCCCTTGACTCACCTTGCCTTGATCTATACCTGGCATTTGTTTTAATCAACTATGGTAAGATGAGAGACATGAAGAAAATTTTGAAAAAAGAGTTTATTACTTACAGTTCACATGGAGATGTGCAGGGCCACATGGGGAAGCACCTGAGTCCGTCAGGAGGCAGGAGTGAGGGGAAGCATGGCCCGAAGCTTTAATTGTGATTTTTGCAGGAAGGAATGGATGAGGCAGAGTAGGCAAGTTTAAGCAAGTTTAAATAATTTCTGCAGGCTCTGGGCTGTGGGGGTGGTTTTAGTTGTCTGGTACCTGGCCCTGGGGTGATTTAGAGCAGGGGGAGTATTGGCTGGTGCTGAGAGTTAGAGAAAGGATGAGGTTGGGGGTATCGGCTTTGGATTTGAGTTTGCATATGAAAGTCACGCTCTCAGGCAAGCTGTTTGCTATATCTGGAATTAGCTAGCCCTGAGGGGTCAAAGCAACATAAAATACAGAAAATAAAAAACATGATTAATACATACCCTTTCTTTCGTTTTTTCTTTGCAGTGAAAGATTTGCCCTGAACTAACATCTGTTGCCAGTCTTCCTCTTTTTTTTTTTTTTCTTCCCCAGAGCCCCAGTACATGGTTGTATATCCTAGTTGTAAGTTCTAGTTCTTCTATGTGAGCTGCCACCACGGCTTGGTAACTGACAGACAGGTGGTGTGGTTCCATGACTAGGAAGCAAACCCCCGCCGCCGAAGCAGTGAGCACCAAACTTTAACCAGTAGGCTGTCAGAGCTGGCTCTACACACCCTTTCTTTTAGCAGCTGCTACATATCGTTAGTCCCCTTTATGATCAGATCTCGAAGAGTTTGTGGTTGCTGCTTCTAATTCCTCTCTACCTCCACCTATTCTTTCCAAACCTCTTCCCTGTTCTCCCTTTTCTCCTCCCCTCTCCACCCTCCCACTGCTGAGTCACCAGTGACCTCCATGATGCTAAATCCAAGATCTCTTCTGGGTCCTTCTTCTGCTTCGCCCCTCAGAAGTGGTTCTCACAGATTACTCTTCTCTCCTTGAAACTGTTTTTCTTGGTTCCTCATCACTGACAGTTTGGTCCCAGTCTCCACTGCAGGCTCTTCTCTGCTTGACCTCTGCAACTCCATGTGCCTGGACCCCTCTCTATCTACATTCTCCTATGGTGATTTCCTCAAGTCTTGTGGCTTTAAGTGCCATCTCTATGCCCAGGACTCCCCATCTTGGTATTACTTATCTTCAGCCTTGAGTCCATGTCCATGTGCCCAGCTACCTACCTGATACCTCCTCTTGGGTAGCTCATAGGTACTCAAGTGTAACCTGATCAAAGCAGAACTCTCCTTTCCAGACCCTCCTACCCCAAACCTTCTGTCCTCCAGTCTCCCTTATTGCAGTTAATGATGTCTCCATCCATCCAGTTGCTCAGGCCTAAAACTAGTAACTGTCCTTGAATATCCTCTTTCCCCAAAACCCCACATCATTTTATCAGGAGGTCCTATTAATTCCATCCCCCAAGTCAAAGATCTGTCTACTTTTAATTTTTTTTCCCCCCAAAGCCCCAGTAGATAGTTGTGTGTCATAGCTGCACTTCCTTCTAGTTGCTGTATGTGGGACGCGGCCTCAGCACGGCTGGAGAAGCGGTGCGTCGGTGCGTGCCCGGGATCCGAACCCGGGCCACCAGCAGCGGAGCGCACACTTAACCACTAAGCCACGGGGCCGGCCCAGATCTGTCTACTTTTTATGTCTACTACCATAACTGTACACTAAGCCAGCAGCATTTGTGGACTATTTCAGTGTGTAGTAACCTCCACACTGGTGTTCTTGGTTCCACCCTTGCCTTCTAGTCCAGTCTCCACGGAGCAGCCACAGTTATCTTTTTAAAATGCAGTTCACTTAAGGATAGGCAAATCCATCAATGGAATAGAATTGAAAGTGCAGAAATAAACCCGTACATCTGTGGCCAGTTGATTTTCTACAAGAGTGCCAATACGATTCGATGGGGAAAGAATAGTCTCTTCAACAAATGTGCTGGGAAAACTGGATCTCCACATGCAAAAGAATGAAGTTGGACCGTTACCTAACACCATATACAAAAATTAGCTCAGATGGATCTAATGCTTGTCAGAGCTAAATCTATAAAACTATTAGAAGAGAACATAGGCATAAATCTTCGTAACCTTGAATTAAGCAACAGTTTCTTAGATATGACACCTAAAGCACAAGCAACAAAATAGATAAATTTGATTTCATCAAAATGATAAACTTTTGTGCTTCAAAGGACAATATCAAGAAAGTAAAAAGATGACTCAGAATGGGAGAAAAGATTTGCAGATCATATATCTGATAAAGGTCTAGAATCCAGAATGTATAAAGAATGTATAAAGAAAAGAACTTTACAACTCATAATAAAAAGACAGCCCCATTAAAAAATGAGCAAAAGGGCTGGCCCGGTGGCTTAGCGGTTAAGTGTGCACACTCCGCTACTGGCGGCCCGGGGTTCGGATCCCCAGTGCGCACCAACGCACTGCTTCTCCGGCCATGCTGAGGCCGCATCCCACATACAGCAACTAGAAGGATGTGCAACTATGACATACAACTATCTACTGAGGCTTTGGGGAAGAAAAAAAAGGAGGAGGATTGGCAATAGATGTTAGCTCAGAGCCAGTCTTCCTCAGCAAAAAGAGGAGAATTGGCACGGATGTTAGCTCAGGGCTGATCTTCCTCACACACACACAAAAAAGTAATGAAGCACTGACACACAACTTGAATGAACCATGAAACATGCTATGTGAAAGAAGTCAGTCACAAAAGGCCACATTCTGTATGATTCCTTTTGTATGAAATGTCCAGAAGAGACAAATCTGTAGAGACAGAAAGATTAGTGGTTGCTGGGTGGGAGGAGGGGAGAATGTGGAGTGATTACTCATGGGGACAGGATTTCTTCTGGGGATGATGAAAGTGTTCTGGAATTTAGGTAGTGGTGAAGGTTGCCACTGAATTGTATGTACACTTTTAAGGGTGAGTTTTATCATATGTGAATTACATCGCAAAAAATCAACACTAATAAAAATGTAATTCATGTCATATGATAACCACTCTGTAAAATCCTTCATTGCTTCCTGTATTAGTTTTCTGTTGTCACTGTGACAAATGACTGCAGAAGTAGTGGCTTAAAAAACACAAATTTATTATCTTCCATTTCTGTAGGTTACAAATCCAACATGGGTCTCACAGGGCTAAAATCAAGGTGTCGGCAGGGCTTTCCTTCTGGAGGCTCTGGGGGGTAGTCGTTTCCTTGCTGTTTCCAGTTTGTGGAGGCTGCCTGCATTCTTTGACTCATAGTCCCTTCTTCCATCTTCAAAGCCAACAACATAGCATCTCTAATCCTGTGTCATCACATCTCTTTCAATGATCATAGGTGGGAGAGTTTGTCCGCTTTTAAAGATGTGTGTGATTAGATTGGATTCATCTGGATAATCCGGATTAATCTCCCAATCTCAAGGTCCCTTAACCTGAATCACATCTGCAGAGTTCTTTTCCCCTTGTAAGGTAATGTATTCATGGTTCCGAGGATTAGCACGTGGACTTCTTTGGGGACCATTCTGCCCACCACGGTTCCAGTCACAAGCAAACGAAAGCCAGAGTCGTTCCCCTGACTTGCAAGGCTCTTTCAGCCAGCCCCACTTGCCTCTCTAACTTCACTGCATGGCTTTCTCTCTCACCCCTTACCCTACAGCATCCTGGTCTCCTAAAAAGCCAAGTGTGTTCTCACTCAGGGCCTTTGCACTGGCTGTTTCCTCTGTTTAAATTATTACTCTCTTCAGCCCTTTTCTTGCCTGCCTTTTTTTTTTGCTTGAGGAAGACTGGCTCTGAGCTAACATCTGTGGCAGTCTTCCTCTATTTTGTATGTGGGACGCCACCACAGCATGGCTTGATGAGTGGTGCAGGTCTGCACTTGGGATCCAAACCCATTGAACCCCGAGCCACCGAAGCAGATACTGCTGAACTTAACCACTACACCACTGGGCTGGCCCCTTGCCTGACTTCTTGTCATTCCGATCTCAGCTTTTTTTTTTTTTTTTTTTAATTTTTTGTTTATTGCAGTAACATTGGTTTATAACGTTGTATAAATTTCAGGTGTACATCATTGTACTTCTATTTCTGCATAGATTACATCATGTTCACCACCCAAATACTAATTACAACTCATCACCACACACATGTGCCTCATTATCCCTTTCGCCCTCCTCCCTCCTCCCTTACCCTCTGGTAACCACCAATCTTGGTCTCTATGTGTTTGTTTGTTGTTGTTATTATCTACTACTTAGTGAGGGAGATCATACGGTATTTGACCTTCTCCCTCTGACTTATTTCACTTTGCATAATACCCTCAATGTCCATCCATGTTGTCACAAATGGCTGGATTTCATTGTTTCTTATGGCTGAGTAGTATTCCATTGTGTATATATACCACATCTTCTTTATCCATTCGTCCCTTGATGGGCACTTAGGTTGCTTCTAAGTCTTGGCTATTGTGAATAACGCTGCAAGATCTCAGCTTTGATGTCATCTCAGAGACATGCAAACTACAGTAAGTCTTATAGCCATCACTCTAGTAAAGTCGCCATAAAGTACCTGCCACGGCTGATAGTTTTGTCAGTGTCTGTGTTTGGTGTCTCTCACCTTCTCCATCTTATCTGCCACATGGGTAGGAACCTTGTCTGTCTGTCTCTGTGATGCTAAAATGGTGTGTGGCACGTAGTAGCTGCTCAGTGAACACCTGCTAAGTTAATGTTGCACGACACTGGGATAGGATGGCTGGGGTTTCTGCTTATGCTCCAAAGTGTGCTGCTCTAGGGCAATAGTGCGAGCACAGCTTGCACGGCATTGGACCTAGAAATTTCATAGTTCTTGATGAGTTATTTGCATTATTTAAATTTGCATTATTTGCGTGGTTTAAAATTCTACATATAAAGGGAAATGTTTTGAATATTTGTATATTGCTGTATTTGAATCATGCACAGTTTGAATTCATATGAAATGCTATTGTACTGTACCTTCATTAGGGATTTTCAACAGAATTGGCAGACTCAATATGGAGGACCTTTACCCTGCTGGACAGTATGACTCTTCTCTTTCTCACATGCTCCTCTGTCGCCTTTCTTTCAGAAAGCATGCTCTGAATTACCATCAGATGAAGCCTACTCTCTTCAGTGTGCTCTGTGAAATCAAGGAAAAGACAAGTAGGCCATTGAGAAGACACTTCCTGTGTGGATCCAGGACCTCAACAACCACATGCTTCTGGTCCTGGCTTGGCCCTAATGTGCATCATGGGCCGTCTTGCCCATCGCATCTTTCTCTGGCTGCGGATGGTTCAGGTGGTTCATTTCTGCCTTGTCAGTGCCCTGCTTTTTGGTGCATCACATGCTTTTATTTTGCAATGAGTAACAAGCAGCTGCATTATCTTAAGTAAGACCTAAGAGACGCTGTGGCATTCAGTTGTTTTGGAAGAGGAAAAGATGATAGAAAAGTAGAATAATAACAATTTTGTTTTGTTTGTTTGAAGCATCCAAAGTCACCCCCATGAAGGGCTTCTGCCATTGCAAATCTTTTTGTTTTAAAAAAAATCTTTTTATTTTGAATTAATTTTAGATTTGCAGAAAATCTGAAAAAATTGTACAGAGAGTTCTGCTGTATCTTCCTCCCAGCTTCCTCTAAGGTCAGCCCCTTCAGAACCACAGTGCAATGATCAAAACCAGGAAATGAACCTCAGTACCGTGCTCTTTCACTGCACGGCAGACATTATTCAGATTTCCCCCGTTTTTCCCCTAATGTTCTCATTCTGATCCAGACACCCACATTGCATTTAGTCCTCGTGTCTCCTTGGTCTCCTCCAATCTGTGACAGTTCCTTAGTCTTGTAGCTTGAGTGGTCTACATTTGTCCTCATAGGTTTGTTTTTGCGTGTTTAACTTTTTATTTTAAAACAATCACAGATTTACAAAAATGTTCCAAGAAGAGTGCAAATAAGTTTTCTTCCTGAACTATTTGCAAGTAACTTGCTACCATGATGCCCCATGACCCCTGCATGCTTGAGCATGTGTTCAGTGAACAAGGACATTCTCCTGCTTACCTACAGGGTAACCCTTACAGTCAGGAAAGGAACATTGATATGCCATTCCCATGGAATCCTCAGACCTTGTTCAAGCTCTGCCAGTTGTCCCCATAATGTCCTTTATAGAAAAGGACGCAGGTCAGAATCTCGTGTTGCATTTAGTTATCAGGTCTCTTTGGTCTTTTTCCATCTGTGACAAGCCCCCATCTTTCCTTGACTTTCATGACCTTGACCATCTGGAAGATCAAAGGCAGGCCCCTCCATATGGGTTTATCTGATGTTTCTTTAAGATTAGATTTCTGCTGTGCATCCTCAAAATGAAATGATGCCCTGTTCTCATGCAGAGGCTGGTCAATGGTGCCCAAATTCAGTCTGTCCCCTACTGGTAATGTTAACTTTGATCACACAAGTGAGATGGTGTCTGCCAGACTTCTCCTTTTTAAAGTTGCTCCTTTTCCCTTCCTAATAAGTGTTCTGTAGGGAGGTACTCTGAGACCATGTAAATAACTCCATCCCTCATTAAATTTTTCATTTATTCCTTTATGTATTTTGTATCAGTATAGATTCATGGAATCCTATTTTATCATGGTCAGTTACTATCATCATTCATTTTGATGCTCAGACTGTCCCAGATATAGCTAGGGGGAGCCCCTTCGAGCTGGCTTCATGTCCCTCTGACATGTCTCTGTCATCCTTTGAGCTTTCCCTTACTTGCTGCCATAACACATTCCAGGCTCCTATTCTCTCTCTGCCCCAGCCGGAAGCAGCTGTTTCTCTAGGAGCCCAGGCTTCATTTAGAGTAGATCTTGGCCTTCATTGTGCTCAGTGCTACTGAGGTGTTACTGTTGTGGTCACTCTCAGGGGACATAGCTAAGGAATATTTGTGGGTGATACATATGTGTGTAATATACACACATTCACCTCTATTTTTTCTATATCTGTATATATTGAAAACCATGAGTTCATTCCAATATCTTTAATTCTAGTTCAACACCACAGAGCTCATTCTGTTTTTCTCTCTTCCTGGATTTGTATCTCCTTTCTCTGACAGTAAGAACCCTGCTCCCATTATCCTCAGTACTTTTACTTGTTTAATTAGTTGTTCCCTCCCTTCTCAGGTATACCCAATCCTCCTCCCCCACGTGGACTCTTCACCCCCTCGGCCCCTGACCCCTATCCCCCACCAGCCCACTGCTGTGGACAGCTCCCACGTGGTGCCTTCCCCACCTTTCTTGGACTCCAACACCCAGAGCCAGGTCACCCTCCTCCACAGATGCCCCCTCGCCCTGCTGGGCTGTAACGTCCCACACTGAGCCCCTCCTCAGGTGCCTCTCACAGGTGTTTGAATGTCTGATGGCCTGTCTTTCTAGTCCTTATTTAAATTATGAGGAGCAGATATTATGGCTTCCAGTAAATGGAAGCACAAAGGTTGGGGTTTTTTTGGGTTTAAATAAGTTTGCCCTCCCAGCACTCCCATAAGAATTCTGTATGAACTGGATAAGCAACGTTCCTGCAACTGAATGAGCAACAAAACCCGTGTCCTGTAGACTGAAGAAACTACCCGCAGGGGACGCGCCCATCCCCTGGAGACATCAGCTGGCTACAGTCACATGCTCCTTAGTACTGTTGAATTGTGTGATGTTGATCACCCTAATAAAAATCAGCCAATGTGGGTGCCTTTCGCTGAGGTGTGCTGTCCCCCACCCACCTGCAGGAAAAAAACAGCCCTTTGGGGCTCCCCACTACCCGCAGCAGTTGGTTCTGTCATCATAGCTCCTTGGATGTGTGAGCCCCTTGGTTTTTATTGACAACAACTTAGCTATGCAAAATACGAAATTAGTAGTAATAAAAAGCGATTTTTAAAAGTAATTTAATCCAGTGTCGTCTCAGGAAGCTATAGTTCTTCTTTTTTTTGTTTTGGTGAGGAAGATCAGCCCTGAGCTAACATCTGTGCCCATCTTCCTCTATTTTGTATGTGGGACTCTGCCACAGCATGGCCTGATAAGCAGTGTGTAGGTCCGTGCCCAGGATCCGAATCTGCGAACCCCAGGCTGCCAAAGCGGACTGTGGGAACTTGACCACTACACCACTGCACCAGCCCAGGAAGCTATAGTTTTTGATGACCTTTTTCCTATCAGTGCAATACTGGAACTGAACAGGAAACTTGGGAGCTGTGGATGCACAATCTGAGCACATTTCCTTTTTTGCTCCGTCGGATTCTGTATGTATATATATGACTACCTGTCCCTCAGCTTCAAACTCAGCAGTTTCAGGAGAAAAAGAAAGGATTGATACCTGCTACCACCAAGACAGGCTGAAGTGTCCATTTTAGCCCACCCAGTTGCCCTGTCCCATCCTCCCAGGCTGCAAGGGCCATGCTCGGGGCTTCTGACTCACCCCAGGCTGAGTCCCAAGGAGGCTGTGGGGCTCACAGTGCAAGTCACACACGTCAGATCTGGGCATTGCTTTGGAAAATCATCCTTCCTTTCCACCTGCTGGCTCACACATCAGCGTGCAGGGTATGGGATGCGTTTTGAGCTCGGAGGCGCAGGGATGGCCCCATGGGGAAAGACTATACGTCTACTTCTTGATTTAACTCACATTTCTCACATTTCCCTTCTGGCTAAAGTCTTTGGCAGGTCATTAGGGTAAAGACCAAACCTGCGCAGAGCATTTGACAGCCGCCCGGTGGGCACTGATGGAGTTTCCTGCTTCCCTGCATCAACGTCCCAACCTTCCAGTGGCCTCAGGGCAGACGCTTACTCTGTTTTACAGAAAAGCAGAGTGAAGTTCCAGGGAGAGAGAGTTGCACCCCAGTAAGCGACAGCCATGCTGCGCCCTGTCCTGGCTCAGGGAGGGAACCCTCCCTGTGCCTCAGAGTCGGCATGCACCCCTTCCCCCACACCCCACCCCAGATGCTGTCTGTGCATCCACTGCTCTCACTGCATCCGTGGTGGCTCCTGTCCTCTGCTGTCTGTCTCCTCCAGCGAGGGCAGGGTCTAGGATGTGCTGTGTTCTAGGACTGTCCTGGTACCTGGCATGCAGTGCACATCCCTTACATTTTTGTTGAGTGAAGAACTGTTTCTGGTAACTGATACCTATTAAGTGAAATCGTTTTCATCCTATTCACTTTAGGAGGTTCAGGAAGACTGAATTAGACATTCAGTCTAGGCCTGACTTAGAACACAAAGCTTATCATTCATATCATCCTGAAAAGAAAGCCATTCTCCATGTAAATCCAGTGTTGGCAGATGTTCTTGGAAGCACTACCTCATGAGTTCCAGGATTAGTTGCCTTCCAGTGCTTCCTCCGGCCTGTGGGAGGGACGCGGGTATATCTTCCGGGTCGGTGTGCAGGTGCTCCACCTGTGTTCTCTGCAGTGTCTGGGTAGTCCTGCCTGTGGCAGTCTCTGAAGGCCAAGGACACCCTAGGATTGCACTTCCCTCCAAAATCCTTCCCTTAAAACAGCCGTCCTCGGTGTCTAGAGGAGGTGTCCTGAGGAGTACAAAATAAACCCTTTTTTGGAAAGCTTTGAATTTACCTGGGGGGACCAAATACATACTGGCCCCATCCCTTTCCTGAAACTGTTGGGGCTGGGTGCATTACAGGATTCAGAATTAGTTGGATTTTAGGTATGTTCTGTTGATGAAGACTGAGGCAGAGCCTGCATTCAAATGATGACTTTTAGCACCAAAGCAGAAACATTCTTACACACTGGTATGCATCAGGCTTTGCCTCCAAATGAACTGGAGTGCCAACTTGTGTAAAGATCTTTGGATCTTGGATTGCAGGTGGGCGGGCGGTTTGGACCCAGTATGCATAGGAAGCCCCTTGAAGAGCCACCCTGTGTTGGGGCAGTTCACACAGAGGGGCCTGCTTTGTCTTCTCACTATGACTGTCCCCTGTGCTGGTCTCAAGTGCACATCTGTACCTCAGTTTGGTTCCGGGTTCGCTGTGTCTCTGAGGAACGAGAAGTCCTGGCTCCGCCAGCCTTGCTCTCAGGCCAAGCAGCCCTCACTGTGCCACAGGAGCACAGATGGCTGCCTTTCAGAGGAGTGGATGTAAATAATTCATAACATCAGGGAACATCTATTATTTACTGAACACTTCACTGGGCTGGCTAGGAGCTGTCAGGCTAAAAGTAATCCAGTAGGGTTTTTTTACCTTTGTTTCCCTTCCTCATCAGCTAGTTAGGTCTGTTGCAGTTGCAAAATCATAAACTGTAGGCCCAGCCTTGTGGTTGGGTCTGTCCCAACAATTACCCTTTGGGCCAGTGTGTGACGACTTCTGGAACTCGGATCCCTTTTCTGATTGGCTGTACCCAGGGCTGAGTCCCATGTACAACATTTCCTTACAGCTGTGCTGGGAGTAGATGTCCTAGGGCTGGGGAGTTATTTCCCAGGTTGCCTGGAGCCTCCTTTTCTGGCCCCCAGTCTCAGGGTGACTGGTAAATCGAGCCTCCAATTCTTTTTTTTTTTTTTTTTTGTGAGGAAGATCAGCCCTGAGCTAACATCCATGCTAATCCTCCTCTTTTTGCTGAGGAAGACTGGCTCTGAGCTAACATCTATTGCCAATCCTCCTCCTTTTTTTTTTTTCTCCCCAAAGCCCCAGTAGATAGTTGTATGTCATAGTTGCACATCCTTCTAGTTGCTGTATGTGGGATGCGGCCTCAGCATGGCTGGAGAAGCGGTGTGTCAGTGCACGCCCGGGATCCGAACCCGGGCTGCCAGTAGCGGAGCACGCGCACTTAACCGCTAAGCCACAGGTCTGGCCCTCGAGCCTCCAATTCTAATCGCTCCTGTACAGCTATAGACCAGAGCTGTGGTCCCTGCCATGCAGCAGCTGCTCACCACGGGGGCTATTTACATTTGCGTTAATTAAAATTAAATATAATTAAAGCCACATTTCAAGTGCTCAGTAAACACATGTGGCTGGTGGCTCCCGTATTAGACAGCATAGGTCTAGAACATTGAGAAAGTTCTGTTGGACAGACAGGTGGATTATTTTATACAAACATACAAATCAAGGATTATGAAAAAAACCCAATGTCCATGATGACTAGAGAAACAAAATGTGGTCCATCTAGATAATGGAATGTTATTCAGCCATAAAAAAGAATGAAGCTCTGATATATGCTACAACATGACTGAACCTTGAAAACTTTATGCTGAGTGAAAAAAGCCAGACACAGAAAGCCTCATGTTGTATGATTCCATTTATATGAAATGTCCAGAATAGGCAGAAAGAGATTAGTGGCTGCCAAGGGCTGGGAGTGAGGGAATGGAGAGTGACTGCTAACAGGGACAAGGTCTCTTTTTAGGGTGGTGAAAATGTTAGGTAGTGGTGATGGTTACACAACATTGTGAATATAGTGAAAACCACTGAATTATACTTTAAATAGGTGAATTCTATGTCACATGAATTATACCTCAATCGGGCTGTTATAAAAACAGCTCAAGCAGGCCAGCCCTGGGCATGGTGGTTAAGTTTGGCATGTTCCACTTTGGCGGCCCAGGTTCACAGGTTCAGATCCCCGGCGCCGTCCTACACCACTCATCAGCCATGCTGTGGTGGCGACCCACATACAAAATAGAGGAAGACTGGCACAGATGTTAGCTCAGGGCTAATCTTCCTCAGCAAAAATAAATAAATAATAAAAATAAAATAAAAAATAAAAACAGTTCAAGGACCACAGGGTTTGGGGCAGAACCCCATCTCTAATAAAGAGTGAGCCTGTGGCTGACGGCCCCAGCACACACACGGATTCTTGTGAAGCAGCACTCTCTTACAGCATCTCTTCCCTTGTTCAGCTTTCTTCTTAGTGCCTGACCATCGACTGAAATTATCTTGTGCTTTTGTTTCTGGCTTGTTTTCTGATTCTCTCCCCGGAACGCCAGCCCAAAAAAGCGCAGGCATGCCCACAGTGCGTCCCAGCTCACAGCAGATATCAATCAACTTGGTGGTGGCATGGGAGTGAATAATCTTTCTTGACAGAAAATGCTCTTTTGTCCTGTCACCTAGAACCTGCTTAACATCAGTTCCTGGGACAGTTCCTATTAGGGTAGTTGGGGCATTGGCCAGCCAAAAAATCTGATTCCCAGCCTGGGAATGGGTAGGACATGGTTGACGTGTGTTGCTGAGCTGGTCACCTCCCTGTGCAGTGGGACTCAGCAAAATAAAGGTCACAGCTTGGGTGACGGTGGCCCAGTTTCTGAAGCTTCTAGGCCTTTCCCCATGGCTCCCATTAGGTATTGTTCAGTTGAAATCAGAGTATTTCTTTGGATGAGAAAAAAAATTGTTTAATGTAGACAGAAACCATCCATAAGTGCTGTTTTTCTTAGCTCTTGCTCTTAAATGTCCTCAAAGCCCACAAGAGAGTGTGGACTAATTTTCTAGACGTTTTACCTGGCCAAGTTTTATATCACAGCATTTTGCTGTCTTTTCCTTTTGGCCCATTGCCACGTGCAAGGAAAACAAACTGCACATCATTTTTACTGTGCATCTGCAGTTCATATAGTAGTTTATTACAGAATTGCAGAGTTTTAATTAACAAATGCATAAGTATATTGAAATGAAAATTAATTTGCATATTTGGTTGAGGCTTCAACACTTAGGCTGTGATGTATTTTAATTACGGATTAATTAGAGGGGCCGGACCCATGGCGTAGCAGTTAAGTGCGCGCGCTCCGCTGCTGGCGGCCCAGGTTCGGATCCCAGGCGCGCACCAATGCACCGCTTGTCAGGCTGTGCTGTGGCAGCGTCCCATATAAAGTGGAAGAAGATGGGCATGGATGTTAGCCCGGGGCCCATCTTCCTCAGCAAAAAAAGAGGAGGATTGGCATGGATGTTAGCTCAGGGCTGATCTTCACACACAAAAAAGGATTAATTAGAAATGATGGGAATTTGTATAGTGTGATACTCCTCCAGTTTGATGAATATCTAGTGTGTGTGGCATCCGTGATTTCGGAAACTGATGAGCGTTTGTTAAACGAATATTCTTTGTAAAGTCCTATGGGACTGAGAAAGTTCAGTGACTTAAAACAAGGCTTCATCTGGAATGATGCTTGAATGAGCTGACCTAGAGTACATTACTTCAAAGGTAAATGTAGGCAGTTCTCAACACTAACAGGCTGTCTTCCCAAAGTCTCCTCATTTAGAGTTAAGAACTCAGGGCTGGTTATCTCCAGGAAACAAGAATATGAAACGGCCCTTGATAGTGTGGGGGACAGCCGCTTAGAATGCCATTTTTCAGCACTGATCCCACCTGGGGCCAGTTTGGGCCTGCGTAGAGGGTGAGGAGGGAGTTGTTGGTGACATAGTGACTCTCTGGGTGACTTCAGCAACACAGGGACACCCTATAGTCTGCAGGTGGATCACGTCTCCCATCCTTACCTTGCCCTTCCGTCCCTCCCAGGCTCCTGGTCTCATCGTCTTGACCGGCACCTGAGGACAGAGCCGAGAAGGGGCCTCACCCGTGTCTGACTTGAAGCAGTGCCTCTAAAGGTCCCCAGTAAGTCTGAGGGTGCTGTGTGGTTTGGAGAGACGCCGTTATCACGGTAAGGAGGGGTCTTTCTATTCCTGGTATGCTAAGGGTTTTTATCACTAATGGGTATTGTTTTAATAGATTTTTTTCTTTTTGCATCTTTTGATTTATAGTTTCTCTCCTTTAGGTTACTGCGATGATTTACGTTGATAGATTTTCATGGACATTCATTTACATAGATTTTCATTTATATTGATGCTTTACAGTGACAGACTTTGGAAGCACCTGTGTTTGGAGATAAATCCTCGTGGTTATGATTCATGTATTTATGCACATACACGAACAGAGATGCTGCTGATGTTGGTTTGCTGGTCACTTATTTAAATGGCTTAAATGAATGAGGCTGGGCTGTGATTTCCTCATGGAGCTCCTGTCCTGAGTTCTCCATATGGTGAGTGGGTGGCTTTTCCTGGGTCTCTCCTCCAAAGCAGTTTGTAGAAGAAAGAGGCTCTCTCTTCCTTGAGGGCCGGGGTTGTGCCATTCCATAAAATGGCCTGGTGGCCTTCAAGGAGCTGTTTCTTAGCACGGGTTCCTATTTCTGGAGCATAATTCTGCAAGGCCAAGCACATTCTGGGAACTGGGGTACTGGCAGTGAACAAGACAGTGATGGTCCCAAGAGAGCAGGGTGGTTCCACCCAGTGATAACAGAGATAGACGTGCACTTTCAGGGCCATGGGATGCAGGGGGTGAGTGTGGAGGGCACCCCTACGCCCCCAAGCCGTGGTCTGATGGGGTTTTTCACAGCAGCAGGCACTCCTGTGTACCAAGATGCGTCTGTGTGGGGAGCAGCCTGCCCCACACTTCCCTGGTGATCTCATTGAATCCTCACGCGTGCGATTCCCAACTTAAAGGAATTAAGGCTCAGAAACTGCCCATTTCCAGTAATAACTGGCACTGAATGAGTTGGGATCAAACCAGTTTACTTGACAGGGACCAAGCCTCTAATCTGCCTCCCCCGCCAGCTCTGGGAGCCGTCTGGGGTGTGGGGCTGTTGTGCATAGTTTGCAGGCTCCCCAGGTGAGTCAAGTTTATTGGGAGACCTCTGGCCTATCGATGAAATGACCCTGATAGGAAAAGATTCCTGGGCCCCACACGCACGCTCCATTGGCATCCATCCCTAGGGAGGAAATAAAATGACAGAATCAGAAAGAGCTTCCCAATAGGTGGAGCTTTTTTTTCTTAAGCAGTTGGGGTCCAGGTACAAAAGGTTATTTACCACCTGTGCCCCTTTTCGTGTCCTCCATTAACATAGGCATCGTGTAGGGAGGAAACACCCTCACACAAGATGACAGTGCTTGCTGGGATTGGCTCCTTGGCAGAATTCCTTGTCGGATTACCTTATTACCTTGCTTGTTTGACTACAAGGGAAACTAAGATGGTAGAAGCTGAGCGCAAGTTCGTGAATGAGGACGGGAAACGTTACTCAGCACAGGCCTCGGTGACCACGCTAGGTCCACCCCTGCAGCCCTGTTCCTACCAAGATAGTGCAGCAGGAGACCTGGTTCCCCAGGGGCAGCAGCAACCACTTGTCAACCCCAAAGCCCCGGCTTATGCCCAGCACTTAGTCAGTGCTGAGCAAGTGATCAAAGAAGCATTGAAAAGTTTCTGGAAGCAAGGAGTCCCCAAGCTTTTCTTCCTAATGATTGTTCTCACCCTCGAAGGCAAAGACACTGGTGCTGTTGCTTTTAGACTGACTCTGTGGATGGGCCTGCCGTAGATGGATGTGGGGGCTGGTGTGACTAGAACAAGTGGCAAATGTGGGTGCCCAGCACACACTTGCAACTCGGGCTCAAAACCCTAACCCTGAGGTCCAAACGCTGGGCTCGGACTTTGTGTCATCAGAGGCACCTCAGAAAGCTGTTTGGTCACCTCTCACTTGACTTCAGTGCCTCTTTCTGTGTTCTGTTTCTGTTCTCTCCTCTTTGTGCTCCAGGTTCTCACAGCTTAATCCATCTCAGGTGGTAGGTGATGGAGGCTCCCCACTCCACCCCACCACTGTGTGGGTGAGGGGGGGCCGGCTTCCAAGTCCCAAGCCTTGGCAGGCACTGGGCCATGCCTGTCCTGTGTCATCCCATCCCATTGGGTGCTCACAGCAGCTCCATTCACAGCCAGGGCTGTGGCCAGTGGGGTGACACATTTATAGCCACAGAGTCAGAAAGTAGCTGATCCAAGGGGCCAGTCGGGGCATCAGACGTCTCTGGCACTCAACCAATGGGTTAGACTTCCTCCTTTGTATGCAATAGGGGTCCTGGAGACGGCTCCACCCAGCCTCTCACCCGGCATGGGAGGAGGCTGGAGCACAGTCCTGCTGCCAAGCAAGAGCACTCCTGAATGGGCAAGGGGACAGACTGCAGTGGCAGGGAGTCAGGGTGAAGGAGGCTTCCCCACAAATGGCCATGTCTTTGTTCCATTAGGGGAGAAAAATCAAAATGACTTGGGGTCGTGTTCCTGTCTTAGTCTGCATGGGGTGGCTTAAATAATAGAAATTTATTTTCTCACAGTTCTGGAGGCTGGAAGTCCAAGATCATGGTGCCAGCTGATTCAGTTCCTAGTGAGGGCTCTCCTGGTTTACAGATGGCCACTTCACGTGGTGGGGGTCGGGGAGAGAGCAAGAGAGCTCTCATCCTCTTAGAAGGCCACAGTCGTAAAGGTTAGGGCCCCACCCTTATGACCTCATTTAACCTTAATTACTTCCTCACAGGCCCTGTCTCCACAAGTCACATTGGGAGTTAGGGCTTCAACAAGTGAATTTGGTGGGGAGGGAACAATTCAGTCCATAGCAGTTCCATATTGTTTCTTACAAAAAACATGTGTTGAAATTCACGATTTTATTTTACTTCATTGTTTGGTTTACTGGGGTTTTATCACCCTCAGTAAGTTGGGAAACAGAAGGAAATCTGGCAGTTTTGGGGAGGTGCCTTTGTTTTAGTTCCCACCTCCTCTTTTGAGCACCTCCAACAGATGGTATTCCTGCGCTGAGCTCCTGGTCCCCACAGCCGCCTGCCCACCAGTCGAGGGCCCTAGGGGAGCTGAGGAGCATACTTGAGATGCTCTGGAACTGTCAGCCAGAAATGAGCTTGTTGTAATTGATGGTAATGAGTATCTAATGAGCATAATTAGGCCAGGACAGTGCACTGGGAAGACAGATGCGTGGTGCTAAGAGAGGCGCAGGGCTGCGCATGAGCAGCAGGTGACGAGGGCAGACGGCACTTTGCAAGCGGGTAAAGTGAAGCCCAACACGTGCTCGCCTCAGCCACGTCCACAGCAGTGACTAGTGGTGGTGACCAAGGCATGGGGTCACTTCTGTTTTTTAGATTTTGCTTTTACTCACACACATGTATTGCAAAAGTATACGACCTTAAAGAAATAAAGCTTGTAGCACATGAATGTCCGTCCTAATAGCACTTCAATACAGATGCACGGTTAACACCACAGGGCCTGAGATGTGACGGGCATGTTGTCTCCTTATTAATGGACCTCTGGGTGGTTTCGGTTTTCATAGTATGGTGTGGTCGTGTGCATCCTGTAAATACAGCATCCACAGATGTCAGTGTTCCTGTAGTACAAATGCTCAGAATAGGAATTTGGAGATCAGAGGAGATGCACTTTTTCCCTGTTAATCAGCATTTCAAAACTCTTGGACCAATGCATACTCCATGAAGAGAAGTGAGAAAAGGCTCCGGTGTTTTCTTTGTAATTTGAGAGTTTTCATTTGAGAACAGTAAGTTCCATGTTTTTTTTGGTGTATTTTTAAAAATTTCCAATGCCTGGTGTAGTGCCCACCTTGTGATGAGCTCTCAGATGTTTGCTGTTGGATAATTAAAAGACTGAAAGAAAGACTGCCCCGTGCCCCACAGCAGCCCAGAGCCACACATGTGTGCACACAGATACACTCACGTGAGCCCACGTCCCTGCGTGCACACATGCATGGACACATGTGGACACACACACACTCCTTCACTAAGCAGCCTGTTTCCACCTTGACCACTCCTTTCCCTAGTTCAATGGAAGCTGTAATGGAAAGTGTGGAGGTGGCTTCTCCACCCCCAGGTGTCAGGGCATGCTGGGGCCCTGTGGGGAAGGACTGGGTCCTGTGTGTCCCTCTTGGCCCACTCCTGATCCTCAGCCTAGACCATGGGCACTCCAGGAGGAGCTGCTGAATAAACCTGAGACAAGAACAAAGTGTCTACTGTGCCATCAGAGGGCTTTGCACAGCCCAGCAGAGGGAGAGTTCATGAGGGTGGCTTCGGAAGGATGTCAGGAAAGGCCATGAGTGCCACCTGTCAGATTCTAGGTTTTCCCTGTGGGTGCAAGGGAGTTGTTGAAGTCTTTGAACAAGAGACTGGTGTGATAAACACAGTGTTGGGAGGTAGTCGGCTTGTCGGTGTGCACAATAGATCAGAGGGGAGAGGGTTTTCCTCCACGGATCACGGAGGGCAAGAGGGGGGTCGGTGCAGCAGGGGCCCAGGAATGGCATTAAGGGAGCGGACAGATGGCAGGTTGATTGTGGAGGTAGAATCAACAGAGGGACTAGGGGAGGAGGACCCCCATTATCTACTCTGGGCTAGGAGAGGTCAGGACCAGTTAGGGACCTTTACAAGGGGTAGGCAGTGCAGTCAACCCTAGAGTGGACCTAGCGGCTGTAGCTAGGTAGCGGCTGTCCAGAGTGCCCAGCTGCTGTAGCTTCTGCCCGGAGTCTGTAAGGACCAGGGGTGCACGGTCCACAACCACCGTCCTTACTGAGCTCAGGCTGTCCTGGCTCATGGGAACTACAGTTGACATTTGGTGCTTCTTGAAGATCAAATAAGATTGTTAGAAAATTGGGTCTCTGAACTGGAAGGCTAGCAGGTAACTGATAAAAGGGGCACTTTTCCTTCAGTTCTTTCAGAAAGAGCCTCGTTGAAATCCAGTGGGGCTGAGTAGATGGTGAGGGTCCCTGAATGAGGAAAATTCTTACAAGGATATCTTTTGAGCTCCTTCAGTTTTCACTAGTGAGTTTTTGACAGAAAAGGTTAATCTCTTATGTAGGGAACAAGAAAGAGACAAGTGATTAATGAAATATCCATATGAAATGATTAAACTGAATTTTTCTTTGAGCACTTAAATCAGTTAAGTAGCTGATAGTATTAAGAGAGCCTATTTCCAGGGCCAGCCCCGTGGCATAGTGGTTAAGTTCGGCACATTCTTCTTCGACAGCCCAGGTTCATAGGTTCGGATCCCAGGCACAGACCTATACCACTCGTCAGCCACACTGTGGTGGCGACCCACGTATAAAGTAGAGGAAGACTGGCATAGGTGTTAGCTCAGGGCTAATCTTCCTCAGCAAGAAAAAAAAAAAGAGCCTATTTCCAAGAAAACACTTTAAACTTTGTTTTTCCAGAAAGTCGGAACTAGATGGACATCATCCCCTTCTTCCCTGTCCCCTGCCTCCATCCCCTCAGGACCTCGCCCCCCGACCCAGTCTTTCACCTGTTTCTTTCTCTGTAGCCGTGGACATTTCTTCTATCTCTGAAGAAGCAAACAAAACACAGGTCTCGCAAGAGCACCCTCCTCAGACCTGAACCTTGCTCTGTAGCCCCTGCAGCAGCCTCTCCCTCCCTGTGTTCCTGGCTTCCACACTCCTCTGGAACTTTCTAGTCAGGTTCTACCCTGCCATACCCTGTGGCTGCTTTTGCAGGGGTTAACAGCGTTCTCCTAATGACTAAGTCCACATTTTCACTCCCCTGTGACTACTTCTGGTTTTTCCTTGACCTACCTGATCATTCTTTCCATCTCCTTCTTTGCCTGTCCCTTAAATGTTGGTTTTCCAGCATTCAGGGGGTGTGGCCTTCTTCTCATAGGTATAGCGCTAGGTACAGGTGGATAGGTACAGGTTTCCCAAACACACGCCACGCGCAGATGACGCGTGAATACCTGTCTCCCACCCGAACTGGTCAGCTCAGCCCGACTCCCAGTAAGCAGCTGCCTCGCAGCTACCTGGACATCTGTGCTCAGCTGGGTCAGGGACCAGGCTGATGCTGCCTTTGCACCTCCCACTGGCTGCTCCGCACGCTGTGCTTAAGAGAAGGCAGCGCCATCTAGGGCGAATGTGAGTATCGCCCTTGCCTCTTCCTTTCTCTCACGTCCATGGTCATGGACCCTGGGGACTCTCCCTCTGGCCACCTTGTAGCTGACATGCGTCCACCCAGATGGTGGCAGCTCCCCTCACTGCCTTCCCAACCCATCCAGCCCTTGAGCAGGTCACTCTCTCAGCCCAGCTGGGATGGCTTTTCCAAGGTGCAGGGCCAATTGTCTGCTTAAAATCTCTCAATGGTTAGTTTATCTTTTCTGGTACTTTCTGAATCAGACTTTTCCTCTCCAACTTTATAGCAACAACCCTTCCCCAATACACACATACAGCAGACACAAAGAGACGCAACAGACACACACCAGCACAGTCCTGCGCCAATGCCAGGCTGCCACTCCCGTTCCTGTCCACGGCTGTGCCGGTGTGAGCATCTGGAATGGGCCCTCCTCTCCCTTCCGGAGATGTGATTCAGGGCTTCAGACTTCTCCAGCACCAGGTGCCGCCCCAACCCTGTCCTGTTTGAGCCCCTAACATGCACCCAGCTGTGGGCTATGAGTTCTGCCTGCACGGCCACACTGAGCTGTGGCCTGTCTGTCCCTCCTGAACAGCGGCACCTGGCCCAATGTCCCAGTGGGTAACTCAGTGTGTGTTACCAGATAAAAGGAAGTCTTCCTTTCCCCCTAAGGTTCTGTGAAGGATGTTCAGACATGACACCGGTGCTAATGTTCTGTTGTAGGTGTTTGTGCTCAGACAGCAGTCACTGACTGAGTCCCATCTCTCTTATCCAGTGTTAAGCATTTGTGGCGTTCAGGAGGAGGGTCCCCCCAACACTAAGCTCATGAGACTGGATAACCTGCTGCTGGTCGAGGGCATGTCCAGGCCAGAGAAGTGAGGAACAGGAGGACCAGAGGCAGCGTCCAGCACAGCAACACCAGGTGGCTGTCCAAATTACAAAGCCTTGAGCACTCTGACTACAGGGCCAAGCTGTCCCAGATCTGACAGATTTACCACTCTGAGCTAGAGAAATATAAACAAGTGATCTTTCTGCATGGAAGAGTTGCTGTCAAGTGAATGCACATTTGTCAAAGCAAACCATGGACTGCTAACTGCCTTTCTTTTGCGGCACAGATCAGGGAGTACATGCATTTGGTCTCACAGGAAAGGTGGCTAATTTGCTTGGAAGCCCTTTGCATTCACTTCTCAGTAGCCAGCCTGTGTGGGAGCTGCGGGGTGTAGCAGGTGGCTGGTCCTATGTGGAGCCCTGAGCAAGCGTGCTGGGTAGTCACAGGCTGGCATGTGTGTGTCTGCACCTCAGGCCTGCTATGAGTTCACCACACATCACCAACCTTCTCTGGGAGCAGAGCAGGATGATGCCTGTCTCGCCCAAGGAAATCAAGCACATGGTCAGTGTCATCCACAGCAAGTTCAATGCCATCCAGAGGCAGCTGAAGCAGAGCACCTGTGAGGCCGTGATGACCCTGCGCTCGTGGTTTCTCCTGACGTGCCAGGTCAGATCCTACCTGCTGCCCATGACTCCAGGGTCAGCTCTTAGAAAGAACCAAATCAGTGCTGACTTGGGTTTAAGTTCTAGGAGCCTCCAAGCTTGTCCAGGGGTTCTGGCTGCAGCTGCAAGTGTAGCCCTTACACAGCCTCCTGGAAGGCAATTGAAGTGTTGACTGATGGTTTTATAACCTCTAGAAAATCATAGATGGGGATGAGGGGACATTACTAGAGTGCCAGTGTGTTGATGCTGGCAGAGGCTGTCTGTCTTTGCAAGCGAAAATGGTGGAATCTCGGCAAGCAGGCCACGCAAGTGCTAAATGAGTATTTTTATTCCCATTTGAACAACCCTTACCCCAGCAAAGAAACCAAAGAAGAGCTGGCTAGGAAAGGTGGCATCATGCGTCTCCCAGGAGACAATCCTTTCCTGCCATGCCTCTCTGAACCTGGAAGGGGAAAAAGGTTAAGTCCAGTGAGGAGGACATGCAGAGAAGTTCATTAAATGTGTGGAGCACACGATGGAGTGTGAGGTCCCTGAGGCGATGAGTGTGAAGTGTGGTGAGGTCCCTGAAGCGATGGGTGTGGAGCGTGAGGTCCCTAAGGTGATGAGGGTAGAACGTGAGGTCCCTGAGGCAAGGGGTGTGGAGCGTGAGGTCCCTGAGGAGATGGGTGTGGGGTGTGAGGTCCCTGAGGCAATGGGTGTGGGGTGTGAGGTCCCTGAGGAGATGGATGTGGCATGTGGTGAGGTCCCTGAGGAGATGGGTGTGGAGTGTGAGGTCCCTGAGGTGATAGGTGTGGAATATGAGGTCCCTGAGGTGATGGGGGTGGAGTGTGAGGTCCCCAAGGCGATGGGTGTGAAGTGTGGTGAGGTCCCTGAGGAGATGGGTGTGGAGTGTGGTGAGGTCCCTGAGGAGATGGGCATGAGGTGTGAAGTCCCTAGGTGATGCGAATAAAGCGTAGTATGTGGTGCATTGTCGTTGTTACTATTTAATATCATTCCTGTATCAGAGAGATATGCTTTGTTGCATCAGCGAGGTTGAGGTATAAGCTTAGGAGAAGTCAAAGAACTTGGAGCAGAATCAGGACTTAAAATGACAAACTAGTGGGTCCAACCTGGTGGCGTAGCAGTTGGGTTCGCACACTCTGCTTCAGGGGCCCGAGGTTCGCAGGTTTGGATCCCGGGCATGCACTGACGCACCGCTTGTCAGGCCATACTGTGGCAGTGTCCCATATAAAGTGGAGGAAGATGGGCACGGATGTTAGCCCAGGGCCAATCTTCCTCAGCAAACAAAGAGGAGGATTGGCATGGATGTTAGCTCAGGGCTGATCTTCCTCACAAAAAAAAAAAAGACTAGCTCTTGTGCTAACGTACCAATTCACTCATACTGGGGTTGGCTGGGGTGCACGCAGACTTGAGTGTTTCTCACATAGTCCGTGTGTGTGACTGGGGGTACGAGACAGGCAGCATCTGGCTCCGGATAGGGAATGTTGATGCAGATTGGAGATGACCTTGGGAGATCCTGCTGGTCTGTTCTCAGTGGAATTGGGGGCGAGGGAGGAGGAGCTAAGGCGAGACCCCAAGAAGCATTTCAGGAGGTTTTAAAGTGGGATTGGTAAATCCAGGTGGCCCACAGGCTCAAGGCGGGACCCGGCCACACCCATGAGGCAGCGTGAGTGTACTGAAGGGGTCTGGGTGCGGCACCCCTGCCTCTAGCAACCAGGAGGATTGGCGCTGATGCTGGCACGTACTGGCTCACTGAAGGTCACCCCCCACCAAAGGCAGCTTGTGGCAGCCTCCCTGTGCAGTCGGAGGGGCTGAGTGTCCAGCCCAGTCAGGCTGCCTCCAGAGCCTATGCCCTTAGCCCCACCCTCTGTCCCAGCCCACGCCAAGTCCAGCTGTGACTTCATGACGGCACTCAGGAGCCCCTCACGGCCATGCAGGCAGCAAAACCTTACAGCTGTCTCAGTCACATCTGACTTCACTTCCTGGCTCTCGCTTTTCCTAGAGAGGAATCCGGAATCTAGTCTGTTGCCTGTCCCTGCAGTGAGTGGACACACTCTGAGCGTGTCACAGACATGCCTGTTTTCCTTCCAGCTCCTTCCCCATTCCAGGTTCCAGCAGCACCTGGTTCTTAGGTAGCATAGTTGCTCCCTCTCCTGTAAGACATGCCAGCTCCAGGGTGTCCTCAACCCACTGCAGACATTTCCCTGGGTCCACAGTTCAATCAGTGCCACCTTCTCAGTTCTGGCCTCTCACCCAGCCCCAGGATTGTGAGTTGTCACTGAAAGATGTTTCTCCCAGGCAGTGGGAGCACGGGCACTTCAGGGAGCCCTCTGTCTGTGCCAGTAAAATCATTACTGGGTCAGATTTTCTAGAGACTTCTGTCTCTATATGTCCACAGGCCTCCAACTGATTCGGCAACAAAAAAATCTGGTATAAAAAGAACAAGAGGAAGTTTCAAGAAGAGACTTCCATTTACACTGCTAAAACGGCAGTGGACCCCACCAAAGTCGGGGGCGCAGGGAGCCAGGCAGCTGCCCATCGATGCCCAGCTCCAGTGACTGAGGCCGCCCAGCCCAGGGACAGTCATTCACACATGGCCAGGCCCCCTGAGCTGCGTCTGGGGATGAGGCAAGAGGATGGCACAGCCCCTTCCGACTGGTCACCACACATAGCTCTTTATTTAAATGTGCAATTTCTGTTCTCATTGGCCATGATCCTGATCAAGCCAACAGATTCCTGCAGCCTGTGCTGGTGCTAGGGGGACGGGAACGTGGATGCCAATGTGAAAGGCCGTGTGCAGTGTGGTCCCCCAAACCCCAGCTGGTGTCGCCACCCACATCGGGCTGCAGGTGGGGCAGGGGGCCGTGGGAGAGCCAGACGCCTGTGGGAGCCCCATTCACTACCCCTTCCCAGCTGACGGGCTGGTAGATCCCACCTGAGGAGTTGCTGTGACTTTCAGGGCTGGAACACTCGTCCTGAGCCCTCCCACCCCTTCCAGGTTCCTCTGGTCCCTTCCTACTGACCAGCACTAGGGACGTGCTTATCACCCTGCAGATATTGGCCTCTCTCCGGCCTGCCCCTGGGGGAGACGCCCTGCAGTCCCAGGTGAGTCTCGGGGCTCAATCCCAAGGACACCCTCGGGGTCCCTGACTCGGTGTCAGGGCACACATGCAGTTATCGGGTCCTCGGAATGGGCCATCTTCTCGGCCACCTCTCAGCCTCTGCAAGTCTCCCTCAGAGGTCCTGGCAACAAGGAGGGGCCCATTGTGCACTCGGTCCATCGTGGTGATGACTGCAGGTTGGCAGAGCCGCCTCAGGGCACAGCTCTGTGGGGCCCACTCTGCAAAGACCTGTGCCCTTCACTCCCCCTCCCAGGACCTGATAACTCAGCAGCTGCTGAGTGGTGGGCCCGAGGCGAGGGCTTTGGCTGTTGGGAAGGAGCCCTCCCTCCAGGGGGTGCCTGTGTACCCAAGGGGGTGGGTGGGGGCAGGCAGACGAGGCCCTGACCGTTGGAGCCCTGCTGGGCTCAGACCCTCCACCATGTCCATGCTGCAGCCTTGCCAGCCCATCGGCCCCCTCGGCCAGTGCCCACCTGGGCCAGAGTGAAGATCCACTTTGATGACTGGGAAGAAAATGAGCCAAGGATGGCAGGCACCCCAGGACACACCATCCAGAACTTTCTCAGGGTGTTGGGTAACATGCCAGGCCAGCCAGGGTTGGGGGGCCCAATCCCTCTTGCAGTCCCTGGGGCCTCCGCAGCATCCCGCTGATGGTCACAGGGGCCCAACCTCACACACAAGATTGTCCTAAAGAGGTTGCACAGGCACAGCTATGCTGTGGCCATGCAGGTGCAAGGCTGTGCAGCATCAGGTGGGGCCTTACACAGCCCACCTGTTTCCTTCACACCAGTGTTCCCTGCAGTGCCTGAGTCAACTCCCACTGATGTACCCCCAGCCCCTAGTGGGGATGCGGGAACGGATGCCTCCTGGTGCCAGTGGCAGGGCCTGGCGCAGGGCAGTACATATCCATATCCCATCACCATGGCAACATAATGAGTACCTGGGCAGAGCAGAGAGCTCTGACACCACCAGGTGGCTGGGCCTCGTCTTGCTCTGTGCCTGCCCAGGTCTCGGCCCATGGAGCATAGTGGGTGCCGGCGTGTGAGAGTGAGTCGGGGTGAGGGTCCCCCAGCGGGAGATCAAGGGAGATTTGGGGCTGCTTAAGTCCTCATGTGGCTTCCCCAGACCATGAGGCGGGCTCCTGTCAACCCTAATAGTAAGCGGGAATGTCGGGGTTCTGGTGTGGACCCCACACCCTGCGGGCACCCCACCTGTGCCACCCGTATCTCACCCAGCACGCGGTGGTCCCCTGCCCTGGGCAGGCACAGATGCCCTGTCAGAGAGCAGGTCATGGAGGCTGAGGCTGCCCTAGCTGGGAGCCATCACCTTGGCCCTTGGCGCCCAAGGAACATCTGAGCTGCCCTTTGGCTCCCAGTCCCACACCCAGGCACCAGCCTGTCACCTCTTGGTCCTTCAGGTAGACACCTCCCCTCACTGCTCAGATCCTCCTTTTGGGAACATAGGCCTGCAGGCATCCATCCAAGGGCAGAGTGAGTCCCCCTGGGCCAGTGTTCCTCCCAGCTGCTCTCCACCCCCATGTCACAGGATGAGGCAGCCCTCGCAGAAAGCTGAGGGTCTGTTGATTTGTTCACCTGACACTGGCCTCTTAGGTGCAGGTACCGTGGCAGCTCCTCGGGACACATGGGAAGAAATAGCTGAGCAAGGGGGGCAAGGCTCAGGGTCTTAGGCCTGGTGGGATAGAATGGGGTAGAAGGTAGGGGCAGGAGGGCTCAGCCTGTAAAGGAAGATGCTAGAGAGGAAGGTGAAGAGGAGCCTGTGTGGAGCTGTCCAATGGCAGCAGTCTCTGGCCAACTCAGGAGGGGCCGAGCCCTCAGGGTCACATGGAGGATGTGATGTCTGGGCACCCATGAGCAGCTGTCTCCGGAGCTGCCCCCAGAGTGTGTATTGGGAAGGGGAACAGCCCTACCCCTGTGGGCTGCAAACAGGCCTCGCCTCAGAGCACACAGCCCGTGAAGAGCCATTTCCGGTGGTGGTTTCCATTATGGTTGGGGGAGCTCCTGTGGACAAACATCCCAGGTCACGCGTGCCCAATATGGCCCTGCACTGCAGACAGAGCCCCCACGCCTAGCAGCCATGGGCCCTGCCCTCCTGGCTGCCCAGCCAGGCCAGTGTCTGGCCAGGTCTCTGAGCCTCTTCCCACTCAGTGCATCTCACCATGACGTTTTGGGGACCATCAGCAGCTCCAGGCCTAATTGGGTTTCCCTCACCCTCAGAGTGTGTAAAAACCCCGGCTATACCTCAGTGCCACGTCAGTCCTTCACCAGAGCCCTGTGGGGTGGCGGATAGAGGCTTGATGTCACCCAGGACTGACCTCTCCTGGCTCCTCTTCATGGTTCTCGGGGACATGGGGGCTGGACGGGCCATCAGTCTCCCTGCTGCCCTTCTGATGCTCTGTCTCTGTGTTTTCAGGCCCCGGGCAGCTGGCAGGGGGCCACCCCCCCCCAGTGTCAACTCAGACGCATCGTGGCTTGCCAGCACTCGCGTTTTTACTGTGCATGCAGCTGATTAACCTCAGAAAATCCAGAACCAACAGCAGACAGCACTCCCCGAGCCACTGCCCAGAGACACCGCCGCCATCTTTTGCTTGTCGGCTGAGATTTGAAATTGGTTGAGACACTGCACATTTTCCCAATTCTGTTTTTTAAATAGTAATTTTATGGTAAGACTATGAATTCTTTTCTAGGGCTTGTCACAAATTCTCTCATTAAAATTTTTGACTTATTTTAATATCAGTGTTGTTCACCACCAGATTTGTTCTGGGGATGGTTGACAGCACAGGCACGGGGTCAGAGCTGCGCAGTCGTGCACGTGTGACTCCAATGCTATTTGTCCCTTCCTGTGCCGACTCATCAGACGCTGCTCCTCCCACACTCTCCTGTCCTATAGTTCACACGGTTTAGATTAAAGTCTATTGTGAGCTCACAATTTTACTGGGAATTGATTCTGCACTTTTTTTTCTGTTCTACCATTTTCAGTTGAAATGCCATTAAAGATGATAAACTTCCCGATGTTTCCTGCATCTGTGCTTGTGAAATCCTGCTGGCCTGAGGCTTGGCGTTTGGCATCCCCCCAATTCCTGGGTGTCCTGTGTCCCCTCACCCAGGAAATGGGACCTTCTCGGTCTCTCCTCCTCCCCTCACTGGGAATGAAGATGGAAGAGCTCAGCCGTTGGGAGAATTAAACAAGGCACTGGCTCAGGACAGCTCAGGGCTGTGAGCAGGTGCTCCATATCCACCGGCAGTCAGTGTCACCATGGCCCTAACCCCATGTGTCAGCTGTCACCACAACCAGGATCTGAGCTCCTGAGTATTCCGCGTCCCTTGACACATCCCAGGGAGACTCCTGTGCGCCTCCACACCAGCTTGCCCCCAGATCCTGGCCAGCTGGATGCATCATCGTCCTCCTAGTTCTTGGCCTCAAGGCCCCCACGCCCAAGAGATCCCTCCATCCTGCTTGCAGTCCCTGCGGGTACCCCCACTGCAGCAGTGATACAAGGCCCAGCTGATGGGCCACCTCGCCCGGTCCTGTTAGGGATACACACAAGGACCAGGTGCAGGAGTGAGGGGCTACTGGGTCACAGCTGGGAGGTATGGGCCACTGCCAGGCAGCACATTCCGAGTCCCAGCCTGCACCCCAAAAGGCTGAGAGCGATGGCTGCACAGCATGGGAGGAGCTCGCCTCTGCCGCTGCTTCTCCCTAGACGCCTGCCTGGCCTCAGCCCTTCTGGCTCCTGTCCACGCTCCACGACTCTGCCCACCGCAACCCGTCACGCCCACGTTGCCTGGTCTGTTGCCACACCGTGTCCTCCACGCCTCCACTTCTGCTGTTTTTAAGAGCCAAGAAACGGATTTCAAATGCAGGTAGCACGAAAGGGCAGGTGTGGGAAGTACCCTGACCCACCCTAGCCCAGACCCTTCTCCACAGGTGACACTGCAGCCAGTTCTCAGGGTGTCCTGTGACAGTCTTTGATGGTCCTGGCATGTCCCAGCCTACATGTTCCCACTTTGCACACACCGCTTTTCTCCACACAATGCATCCTGGAAAGGCCGCCACCTCTGTGTCTGGTGAGGATCTTGCTCCAGCGAGTGAAGCGCCGTGACGGGAGCCCCTCTGTCTGGTGCTGGACATGTCAGTGGTTCCCATCCTTGCAGCGTGTGCCTGTGACACCCCTTGGCTCAGCATCTCCAGGGGGCTGCTCTGGGAGCCCACCTTCAGCCTGGCTCTTTGCAGTCACCAGCATGGCCGTCGTTTTTCTTCCCTCACTGCCATGCGAACCTTCAGGGTGGGCAGGGGACAGCCATCAGGGGCTTCCCAGTGCACCTGTGACATTTCCACTGTGTGGGTTTTCCTCCCCACGCAGCTTGATTTGGGTTTTATATCATTTGCAGCCAGAAGATGGCAGCTGACTCCCTCCCCTGCCCTTGGCTCCTGGCCTTGGGTCCAGTTGAGCTGCCACATGGCTCCCTGCAGCCTAAGACTCACTGACAGACCAGGGCTCTGCTCTCGTGAAGTTATGTTCCAGAGAGAAAAGAGAGAATAAACATGAGCAGAAGTCTGGGGTGGGTTCAGGGCCACCCTCTGGAAGAAGGTGTCTTTTTTTCTTTTTTTTTTTTTTTGTGAGGAAGATCAGCCCTGAGCTAACATCCATGCTAATCCTCCTCTTTTTGCTGAAGAAGACCGGCTCTGAGCTAACATCTGTTACCAATCCTCCTCCTTTTTTTTTCCCCAAAGCCCCAGTAGATAGTTGTGTGTCATAGTTGCACATCCTTCTAGTTGCTGTATATGGGACGCGGCCTCAGCATGGCCGGACAAGTGGTGCGTCGGTATGCGCCTGGGATCCGAACCCGGGCCCCCAGTAGCGGAGCGTGCGCAGTTAACCACTAAGCCACGGGGCCGGCCCCCCTTTTTTTTGTTGTTATTTGTGGTAAAATACATATAACATAAAATTTTCCTTTTTTGTGTGTGTGTGTGTGAGGAGGACTAGCCCTGAGCTAACATCCGTGCCCATCTTCCTCTACTTTATATGGGACACCACTACAGCATGGCTTAACAAGCGGTGCGTCAGTGCACGCCCGGGATCCAAACCTGCGAACCCCAGGCCACCACAGTGGAGCCACGCACTTAACCGCTTGCACCACCAGGCCGGCCCCTAAAATTTTCCATTTTTAAGTGAACAATTCAGTGGCATTAATTACATTCACAATGTTGTGAAGTCACCACCTCTACCTAGTTCTAGAACATTTTCATCACTCCAGAGGACTCCACCCTGTCCCCACAAACGGTCACTCCCCATCCCCTCCCCCAGCCTCTGGAAACCACTAATCTGCTTTATGTCTCTATGGATTTGCCTGTTCTGGACATTTTGTACACAGGGGATCATAGAATATGTGGGCTTTTGTGTCTGGCTTCTTTCACTCAGCATGAGGTTTTCGAGGTTCATCAAATTATAGCACGTGTCATTGCCTCATTTTTATGACCTAATAATATCCCTTTGGGGAAGGTGCCTTTGAGACAAAACCTCAGGGAGGTGAGCAGGGGAGCGTGCAGAGTCTCGGGGTGGGGAGGCCAGGCACTGCCTGAGGTGCCCGCACAGGCGGGAGGGGCACGAGGTGCTGGCCTTTGGAGGGAGCCGGGCTGGGTGTGAGCAGTGGGCACAACAGGGGGACTCAGGTCTTCACAGGCGGCTCCCCTGCTGAGACAGGAACGACTGAAGAGGGAGGTCTGAGGGTCCTGCAACCACCCAGGTGGTGGGTGGTCAAGTGCAGACAGGATTGGGCAGGGTGGGGGGACACAGGTGAAGGTGCATCTGAGGGACTTGCTAGTAAGTGGGAGTGGGGTGACCTGAGCCACAGGGAGGATAGACGTGGATGCCTGTCACAGAGGCTTGGGTGCCCATCACGCAGCTGAACATATGAGTCATGTTCAGAAGAGAGGTCTGCTCTGGAGAGAGAAATTTGGAAGTCAGGAGAGGGACAAAAACCAAGAGAAGATGTCGTGGAAACCAGGACAGATTTCAGGAGCAGAAAGTGAAGCTCCACTGGCGCCGAGAAGTGACCACCAGACAGAGCAGCGTGGGTTGTGACAGCTTCGGTGCAGCGGTGGGGGCACCGACTGGCTCAAGAGAGAATCACAGACTCCAGTACAGTCCCCTCTCAAGGAGAGCAAAGAGGTCGCTGGGGGCCGAGGGGTGTGGGAGGGAAATGGAGGCAGCGAGCACAGAGAGCTGCCAGGCGGGTCCTGAGGGAGGGAGGGTGGGATGTGCCAGGACAGGTCCTCTGGACACTGGAGAGGAGGTGAGGGTGTGGGCGCCAGAGGCCACCTGAGGGCGGTCCAGAGGGAAATAGACAAAGCCGCAACTCGCTCGCCTGAGGCTGGCACTGAAGCTCATGCGCACCCTCTTGTGGCCGTGGTATGAATGTGGATCGTGATTCAGTCAGCTGAAGGCTTCAAGCTGGGTCTTTAGGGGGGTTTTAATTTGAGGAACTCTCCCCAGGTCAAATTCTGCACATAAAGTCACACTTTATTAACATTTTATATTGCACTATTCAAGAATGCCTAAAATGTGGCCGCAGGACAGTAATGGAGCCGTAAAGATTACAGGCGCGCAGAGGAGTAGGCTGGTGCCCCCAAGCTCGCCAGGCCGGCAGTGTGGGTGCTGACAGCATCTCCATGCAACAGGGGGGATGCTGAGGCTCAGAGGCCTTGTGACCTGCACCACCGGTCTCTGTTAGGAGAGAGGCAGAGCCTGGGCTGTGAGCCTGAAGGCGGTGCTAGTGAGACTGCTCATCAGTACAGCTGCTCAAGACCGCAATTTTCTAGAATCTATTACTATTAAAAATGTACACACCCTTTCCCTCATCAATTCCACTTCTAAGAATTTTTCTACAGATATATGTATATGAGTGCAAAAGGATGCATTTCTTGCCACATTTTTTGTAATTGCAAAACATGGAAAACAAATCTGTCAGTTGGGGACTGTTTCCATCAGTGGTCGTCCAGCCCATATGGTGGAATACTATACAACAGTGAAAAGGATGAAGTGGCTTTTCTCCATGATGCATTAGTTTACAGAGTAGGGAGGGCAACAATTTGTGTACATTTTTGAAATCAGGTGGGGGACTTTCATCCAAATATCTCTGGAAGGTGACACAGGTCACAGAGTGGCCTCTGGGGAGGCAACCAGGGGGATGGAGGTTGGTGGGGGAGGCAGTCTCTCAGGATACCTTTGGGCAGTTTGCATTTTAAAAATCCCTAAGAGGCTGGTGTGGGAGCCCTTGGAATTCTGACCATTCCTCTCAGCCAGTCCTGCTCATTATCCTGCCACTAACCCAGGCTTGGAGGTGCGTGATCAGGAGTTTCACTTGAGATGGGCCCATCAGGAGGGGGAACCAGAGGCCTCATCAGCGAGGAGATGAGGGTGGGGGTAGAGTGAGATGTCCAGCCGCTGTGTCCCGCCACCGGCCACCAGGGGTCGGCGTGGCCCGCAGACCCTTCAGAGAGCACAG